TCTTGAATTTTTATTCACTGAAGTTAAAAGATGCTTACATCCTATAATGGGATGTACACTTAGCTGGAAGGATCTCTACACACACATCCAGCCAAAGGGATGGATGGCAAAGGGGGTATGAGTGGGTGGGTAGAGAAAGCCTCGTTCAATGAGTCTGAGTTCACAGCTTGTTCTATATCTCTGTTTTGAAGAACTTCTCTAACATTTGTTGCTGTAACATAGTGACTGACCTCCTTAGGGTACAAAAGTTGCACACAGCGACTCATGATGCAATGAAACAGTTTACAGTTTACAGAGTAGAACTCTGCAGAAAGCAAGCAGTAAACACACACACAGGGGCATAAAAGAATTTAGCCATATGTTTACCATTTCTTCTGAAAGTGCCTTGATGTACTTTTTCCCCATCTTTTTTTTCATGGTCATGGAAATTGCCCGCATTTTCTTCCCAAGGCTTCCTCCATTATGTGTGATTTTATTTTGTCCTGGTTCTCTACCATCACCTGCAGCCTCTACTTCACAAATCTATGGTTTAAAAAAAAATAGAAACTTGTGAAAAGAATACATGAAATAAAAAACCAGGATATAGTGTATTCAGGGGCAGCTTAATCCTAACATTTACATGGTCGAATGACATGGCCCATAGAGTGCTTGGCCAGCTACTCTTTTCTAATTCAGATTGTAGTTTGTTTATAGCAGATGAATTATGAAAGCTCCACTGTAGCCGTAGTTTGTGCCTGGGCAAGCCATTGCAGTCTTCCAAATTCATGAATGTGCCATGGATCACAAACAATGCTACAACCAGCTATTAGGTCACCATGTTGTTCATACAAAATCAGTCAATAAGGCACTCTCTATGCCAGGACAGCTGGAAGAAACATTACACTTGCTCAGTAAGAGCAATTAGATCTTTGGAGTGCTGGGAAGAGCTACTCCTCCACCCCCCGCAACCAATCATTAGCTGGGAGCTGTTGTCTTTACAGAAGTCAAGAGAACATATAGTGTAAAAGAAGTAGATGGTGCAATATACAAACCTCAGATGAATCATCTGGTTTTGATGACGATGGATGTCTGCTATGGTCAAAGTTTCCAAAGCTGCTTGCTCGCTATTAAAAAAGAAAAATTGTTTATACATACAGTCTCATAAATCGTTTTACTTTAAAAAGCTGTTTGCTTCCAAGACATTAGAACTGTACTAAGTGTTCTTTACAGATGGTATGGAAATTACTAGGAAGAACGTTTATTAATGTTTGTCATGTATTTGGGGACTATAGTGATAAAAGTCCTGGCTGAAGCAAACAGAACTTTGCAGATTTGGAAATTAACAGTCACTATCTTGCCACACTCATCCCAACAGAAGGATTCCCTGTTGATACCATATGGCTTCAATCCATACTGTAAAGGGCTACAAACAAAACTGGTAGGTTTAAATGACTCAGACAACAACGATCAGTCACATTTTTAATTGTCTATACACATGCATTGCACATGTTTGCTTAATATCCCTAATCTGTAACAAAGTGCTTTTAACTAAGATTGGAGCATCATTCATTGTATCTAAGTTTCCTTTCTTGACTGTATTTTCATATCAACTTTGTGGGTGCTGAAAGAACCACATATTAACACACTTTCATTTCTGATTGTTGTGCAAGACAACATGTGGTGATTTGAAGAACAGTGTTCATGCAACTGACGCAAAGAGCTGAACTAGACGTGACAGTGTCTACAGATCTGCCCCTACGATTTTAAAGTAATTTAAAATCCAATCAAGCCTACAGCATGGCAGACTGAGGCACTGTCAAACCCCCCCCCCCAACTCTGGGATTCTATTATTCTATGCAATGAAACAGTTTAAGGCTGTTTTGGCCTATGTGGGAAGACTAATAGGCAACAACCACTGGATGACTTGATACCTCATGAATTGCATGACTCAGCCACACCACGCTGTTTGCTACTTGTTCAACAGCAGCCACCCCATGAAAGCCAGTGTGGTATAGTGGTTAGAGTTTCAGACTAGGATCTGGAAGATGCAGGTTTGAATCACCACTCTGCCATGGTGCTCACTAGGTGACCTTGGGCCAGGCACACACACTCAACCTACCTCACAAGGTTGGTGGAGGAGAGAGAATGATGTAAGCTATTTTGGGCCCTTATAGTTGATTAATGGGGACAGATAAAAGGTAGATTGATGGATAGATGGGAAAGGAGAGAGGGCAGTAGGGAAATGTGATTATATGGGGGCTGCCAGTAGCAAATAGTATGGTGGGAATACAAGGGATAATGAGGGATACCCTTCAAGTTCTTCTGCATTCCCTGCTGTGCAATTGGGACTGGCCTGGTGGCCACCAGCACCACACAGCTGAGCATGGCCCAGCCTGGTGGCCAGAACTACACACAGTTTTCCCAGAAAGAGGAGGACAAAGGGAGGGAAGGACAAAAAGCTGACAATAGGGGGACAAATACAAGTAGGTTGGCGGGTGGGTGAGAAGTTGGAAAGAAGCAGGAATAGGGAAATAGTGGGGAAGAGAAAAATGAGATGCCTCCTACAAGTCTCTGTGGGTCCCCTGCTTGTATTATCTAATTCTGAACATGACTTGTAGAGTGTGAATTGCAAAATCCACAGAATGGACCCATGTACAGACAAGGGTCAATTCCTAAAACCCAGGGAAACCACCAGGTTTGCAGAAAAATCATAAAACATTTTTTTTAATGGGTGGTGGTGGTGTTATAAGAATCCTAGCTAAGACTGCAGTCCAGACTACATTTATATGGAAGTAAACTTTCCTGAAATCAATTGGATTTTCTTTCAAGTAGATATTCTTACAATTTAGGGTGCATGTTTGCAATTTACATCCTTTTTTTAATTATTGGTTCCCTTAATTGAATGTATTCCAGCAGAGTATTTTTATTGGCTAACTGTTAACCTTTTTTCTTTATATAAAAAAGCTAATGAGAACTGATTAAAGAGGCCTTTAGCCTGTACAGTTAACATTTTATTTAAAGATTTCCTATATTAACTCGATGAACAATATCCTGACAAGTTACAAGGGGCAGCTCAATAGTGTGATATAACACACAGCCCTGAGGATTATGGGTCTATCAAGTAAGATTAACACCTTTTGCTGACTTTTCATTCTTTCTGAATGTGCCCCACAGCATTGTGGATAGATGGAAGAGAAGGAAAGACAACAGACGGCTGGAATTCATAACAATGCCAGTTAATTTGGAAGCAGGCTTAGGGCAAGATACAAATTTAACATCCAGCACCTTTCTGTAACATTTCATAATTTCAGCAGCCCTATTAGGACTCCCCGTATATTGCTGATGTGCTGGCGGGCCACTGAGGAGCAGAGGGGAAATAATGCTTATCGCTGCTGTTCTCATAAACAGCTGGAGCTCAGGGAAATCAGTTATTCCTTCAGAGCCTCTGAACACTCTTATATCCTCTCTGAACCTTGGGCTCTTGGGCTCTTTTGTCATGTACTTTAGCATTGCTCTGTACTTATTAAACATTAATAAGGGCTGCAAGACGGTTTCTACCATTCAAGATAATGGGCTTTGTTCCACAAGACAGCATAAAGCAGGGCTTCTTCAGCAATCCTCAGTCTTAACTTTTTTCCATTAAGCAATCAATAAAGCTGCCACTTCTTAAAATGCATTCAACCCCCACGACAACAGTATAAGGGGAGAAAACCCACTGAAGAACTGAGTGCCGTGACAGTTTTGCTTCTGCTAGTGCATGTCGGCCATCACATTAAGCTTCAGTGGATACCTGCTTGGTACAGCCATTGGAGTAATGTGCAAACCTTATTTCCAGCTTCAGGAAAGCTTTTAAAGCAAATGCAAGTCTATTGGAAGAGAATGGGCCATTGATTTTGACATGGGTATTCAGTATCCCATAAAATTAAGTGATTCTTTTTGGCAGAATGGCTGCATTAAGCAAATTAACCTCCTTGAACATAAAAATGTGTTGCCTGAGGGAAGGGGCTGCTTGCCCCCATTAAGGAGCAAGAATGTTGAGGGCCAAACACTCCCTTTGAGCCTTGACTCCCCCCCCCCAGTGGATGATTCATTGGGGCAAGAGGCATACAGAAACAGACTTCTTGGTCGGTTTGTTTGGGCTCATGGCTTTGGCACTAGTGGGTTAAAAGCAACTGTTTGAATATGGGATAGACTCATATTTTTTCCAGCATTTCTTTTTTCTTCTTCTACCTACAGCTCAATTCATACATGCAGCCTCATTTATGTGGGCCAAATTATACATTTTTCTGTGACTGCATTTACTCCATAGATATAGCATAGCATCCACTCAATAATTTTATAGAGGCGTTGTCTTCAATTTGATAGGAGGAGAATTCACACAATGGATTTTTAGAATAGGCTCTCTTAGGTGCATTCTTATTTGATCTCACACCCCCTGGAATCCATCCTAATCCGAGTAGATCCAATACTGCTTCATTCACTGCCACACTGCTCTTTGTAGCCTTTCTGACTATACCTACTCTGCTATCACTTTGCACAGCCACTGCCAATAACTTGGTATAAAACTGATAGCAGGGTCAGTTCCTGGAAATGGTGCCGCAAGGATGGAGACCTTGGCATTGGCTTGGGAATCTTCTAGTGGTCTGCCTGTATCACATGACTCTAGCATTCAAGCACTACCAGGATAGGGTGGAAACTGGAAGCATGGTGTATTCATAACACATGAAGTGGCCTTTCACTGGAAGTTCCAGGGATCAAACTTGGCACCTTGTATATGCAAAGTGATGCCACTAAGTTGTGAATTCACATGTAGCACTTTAAAGTGTTTTTCATTCCTTTCCCTGCTGCTGGTGTTATACACATAATAAACAAATTCGCTTGTATCTGGTTTCTGAAATAGCTGATGGTCAAACCAGAAAGCTGATTTACATTATAATACCATTTTGACCTTCTTGTGTTTTACAGTGCATGTGTGGTTTTGGTCAGAGGACCAATCACTGTTTCTTTCCCTGGTTAGAAGACAGACATGTTTGTAGCTTTTATTTGTATCATTTTTTCTCCTTCTCCTCCTTCACTTTCACCAAATCCTTTGGGAAATCAACACATAGAACTAAAGCTGTAAATACCTATTAGTTTAGATACTGACATTATTATATTTGCATTTTCAATCCCTGTCTAAATAATCACTAAATCTCCATTACCAGAGGTGGGGGGGGGGGGAGCTGTCTGTAGCTCTCTAGAGAAGCCAGTGCTTCTGGAGAGCTAGCCAGAATTCTAGTATCACATTTTTGAGAATTAATAATCAGTTTCTAATAACGATAAAAAAATAACAACACAGTAATGAGGCCCAAGGAAACCATAAGCCATATTTTGTGTTTAGTTAGATTGTGCTAACTATAGAATTATATGTTTAGCTCATTAGCATTTAGTCATTGAAACAGTCCCAATATGCCTGGTCTAACTCTTCTATCAGCTCAGTTGATCAAGCTGTGAGGTGAGCGTGTGCATGTGGGCATGTGTGAGAGATCAGTGCTTATTAGATTGCACCTGTGGTAAATATCCATTTCAAGTAAGATTGGCTCTCTGCTGTGAACATGCCCAGCATAGGGCTTTGTGGACCACTGAAAACAAAAGATAAATCAGTAGGGGGGCTTTTGCTGAACAGAGGAGATTCATCCACCTGGTTTCACATCATTGGCCTTTATTTGTCCCCAGTGCAAAATCTTTTCTTTATATAGCCATCAACTGTTTCATCACCATAAGTGCTCCTTTGGAACTAGATTACAGTCTTACGATAAGTGTTGCAAGACTTTAGTAAAGTAAGCTTTTCACATCTCAGATCATCAGCAGCAGATCATTTTTTCCTTTCTATGTTTTTCTGTTTATACCTTACAAAAATATTTTTGTCTGCATTATGTCAGATCTTCTTGTCACATTAAAATTGTGTGTAAGCACCCAGAGGACAATAGAATTATTTGCTTGACTGGAGACAGGGAATACATCCACCTAGGGAAAACCTACAAAAGTAGAATGAACACTTTTAACAGTTCCTTCCTAAATGTCTTTATACCTACTTGAATATAATGGATATACAGGTATATACAGACCATATAAGTATCAGCAA